TCTTTTTTTGGTGTATATAATTATCTATTTTGAACATTTTTTTGCAACTAGTGAATGAAATGGAATGGATGGGAATAAAATGCAAACCTAGGGGCATTTATGTGATAAGCTGATTTTTTGTGATTTTAATTTATATTTATTTCATAATTTTTAATTGTTAGCGATTGATTATTTAATTTTATTAATGATTTGAGTTATTAATATTTTTTTCTTTTGCATTGGTTTTAATAAATTATTTATTTATAGATAGAGGAGGTGTGGTGTGGTGATTAATTTATATTTATATATATATATATATATGTGATGGTGGAAGCTTGGTCGACAGTTGATGGTGAGAGAAAGAAAATTGTTTTTTTTTTTTTTTGTTTTTTGGTCACATGTTTTATGTGTGTGTGTGTGTGTGTGTGTGTGTGTGTGTGTGTGTGTGTGTGTATATATATTGTTTGTTGAAGCAAAGGTGGCAGCAGAGCAAACATAATAGGAAAGGAAGTTGTAATTATTTTCAGCGGGACCCACTAATGGAAATTTTGAGTCAAGTTCAAGGAACTTGGTCTGGTCTATTCACGTGGGCTGAAAGACATGAGATGAGATGACAAGGGTTGTAAGGATAGACAGAAAAGGTGGCGGAACCAGCAAATTTTTTTGGTTCAAATGAAATAATGTTTTGTCTGACATCTTTTTTTGAGGGTGTGGTGAGCAATCTTGACATGTGTATGGAGTCGGTGAATGGCTTTGCCTATATATTTGTATAAGGTTTGTAGCTTTGGTGACATGAAAGGAAGAAAGAAATAAGGATAAGAGTAAGTCGAGAGAAAGAGAGTGTTCGAGAATAGAGGAGGAGCCGAGAGTTGCAGAGGTGGCCGGAGCTTGAGGAGTTGATGATCCAGTGAGGAATTTCTCTTTTTCAGTGTAGGGTTCTCTATACCTTGAATGGCATGGGGAGGTTTTGATTAAATGTTTTATGAAATGTTTTGATTAAATGTATATTTATTTTGTTTATACTCACCTGTATATGTTTATTTTGTGAAATTGTTTTGTTAAACCTCTATGAAATTCTTGTTATGGTTTTTCCTACTGGGACTTTTGTCTCACCACCCTCCAGTTTCAGGTACCGAAGATGAACGGGGATGGCCAGAGACGGGCTTAGGATGAAGAGTTGGCGTGGAGGATTTTTTTTTTTTTGGAGATTTTTTTTGTATTTTTGAGGAATCTGACTTTGTATAAAAGAGGGCATTTTTCTGTGATCCTGGGTGTATTTTGGTGTATCTGATTTTGTATAAATTGAGGATTTTATTGGAATTGTCAGGTCGTGACAATTGATGTCTTTTCATCTTGCTTTATGCTTGTAAATCATTTTGGTTTATCAATGTATCTATGTATATGGATGTTTTGGGATAAGTTTTGAGTTGTATGAATGTGTACATTACCATATATAATTGCAAGGAATAATTAAACTAGAGCTCCCTTAGGAGCTCATGTCCACATTCTGGTTTAGTTTGATCGATCAGATTTTAATCCCATTGATCGGATCTTCCCATACTTAGAGTATTTTGAAAACCCTTCAAAATCTGCTCTCAGTCTGATTGATCAGATTTCAATCCATTCGATCAAATTTTCCCAAACTTAGAAAATTTTGAGGTTGTCGAAATCGCTCGAATTGACTAAACTTTAATCAGTCATAACTTGGTCTTTTCTAATCCAATTTAAGCCATTCTTAAGTCTAGATTGATGCATTTTGAGCCAACTTTCCATTGGCTTAAACCTCACCTTTAAAAAAAAAAATTAAATGACTATTTTACCCCTCGTAAGGCATAAACCTGAAGTCGGAGCTACCATCCTTAAAAGATCCATTTGTGATTATAAATGACTAGTATGACTTCATTATTACTCCTAGCACATAGTAAGGTAAATAATGACCATTTTGCCCTGAGTTGTCCCCGGGTCGGGGTGAGACCCGGTTAGTGATCCGGACCTCCGGGTTTGGGTCGTTGCACTATAGATATTTCAAATAAAATTATCACATAGAAAAAATTATTTTCTACGGCGAATATTTTATTCTTCTACGAGGTTTATTATTTTTCGTAGAAATGTAAGAGTATTTACGGAACCCTTATAGACGAGGGCCTAATATGTGCTGTGAATAAGTTTTCACGACAAGTTTGGCCCTCGTACAAGGCCATTTTTCTTATAGTGATTGCCAGGAGGTCTTGGTTGTTCTCGCCTGGAGCCCATGTATCCCTTCTGCTCGACTAAGTGTGATCCTCTCGAATCTGGGTTTGGTTATGTTGTGCTCCCTCTAGTGTTGAGCCCACCGCTATGTGTGATAGATTTGAGGCGAGCCCGGTGTTATCGGCATTTTATTGGTCCTAAGCGGCGCTGGGCGTGTCTTAATTCGATGGCTTCCAAGGGGCTCAGCTGTTGGAGGAGATTGTTAACATTCTGACCTAGTGGCACTAGTTGTTAATCTAATTGCCCATTCTCCTGCTCTGAGAGAGCGGGTTGAGGGCCTCGAGGGGCTTGTCGTGCTCCCCTTGGCGGAGGTGTGTTGGCTTGATGAACGAATACCCTGAGCTCCTCATTCTCTTGATGCAAGGCATTAATCTCATTGGCTTGTCGTGGGGCATTAAATTGTGTGGCACTTGCTTTATTAGCTTGGCACAGGGCGCTAAACTTCTCCTGCATCTCTTCGCGCATCTTCTGCATGATCTCTAATTGTTGCATCTAAATAGCGTTTGATCCTATTGCCATCTTAGAATGATGTCGCATGTATAAAAAAACTCAGAAAGTAGTGAGAGGATTTTTATTCCTTCCCAGAGACGATGCCAAAATGTAAGTGCACAAAATCTCCGGTTGAACTCGCAACTTAGAAATTCAAGTGCTCTCACACTCATTTTTTAACAAAAAGGAAGATAATTTTAACAAAGAAATTATCAAAAATCAATATCCACATCACTTCTGCTTCTATTGTAACAAAAGATTCGAGAGAAGACTTGGTCGTACACAACATATCGTTATTAGAATCATTCTTTTATAATTATAATATGTACGGTAACACTATAAGAGCTTTTTTAGGATCTTTTTCCTTGTAATATTGATTGGTTCCAGATATGTAGCCATTTCTCATTTCATGTGGTTTCCGTTAGTATTTGAACAACATGTGGTTATGGGTTGCGTGGGCCTTGATATTTTTTTTGTCCTGTTTGTCGCATGAGATACTCCTTGGTTCCTTGGGCTGGCGATTGGGTCTGTGGTCTTTACTCTCTCCCTTGAGCCTGATCTATTATGGTGTACATGTGTCGTCTACTGATTAGGGGAAGATTTTCCCTCCAAACATATACTTTATGAGCTTCCTCGGAAGCCATCCTCAAAATCTTTGCACAATAACGGAAACAATGACGGTGTGCTTCCATCTACAAAATTTTCAAACTCCAGTCCCAATTTCAAATTTTTTAGTTTTACAGGCGAACATGACTTTTTTAGTTTCATATGTGAATACAATTTTTTTTTTTTTAATCATCAACAGCAGTTTATAACTATATATACATATGTATAGTTATATATATATGTATGTATAGACATAAGGGTGTGTTTGAGGTGTTTAAAAGGTATTTGGGTTTAATAATTACAATAAGGGGGCATTAGTATCTTTTCATACTCAGAAGGATATTAAGGTCATTAAAATTATAATGTATGTCATGTGACGGTCACTCGGTCAATTTAACTAATGGTAAGATTTGACTAAAATAAGGCTATCTGTTACAAAAATACATAATTAAAAACATTAATAGTTTAAAGGAATTTTTTACATTGCACCATTATTACTCGTATTATTTTTTCCTTTTACTATGACAAATATAGGGTAACGTGTTACAAATGCAAATGACCAAACATTCAACTAGACTGTTGGCCGAATACCAGTCAAATTGGTCATTTAGTGGAGAAAATATTACATATTCAGCGGGTCGTCCACTCTACGGAAGTTGACATGGAAAAGTCACGCGTCAATCTACCGTATTCTATGTTACCTTATTCTACGTTTTCGTTCATTATTTTATGTTACCTTATTCTATGTGGAGGAAGACGTATGTTACCTTATTCTAGGTTTTTGTTGATTATGGTATTCTAGACATTGTAAGTCAATGATGGTCTTCCAAGATGCATTTTAATTTCGCCACTTTATTTCTTTTTAATTGCGCAAAAATTGATCTTATGTCACCGAATTCATATCAAGTTAAAGAGTACAAATTCTTGTAGGGAAAAACTCCAATATGGTCATGGGGTATTGCATAATTTTAGGCTTATTAGATGGATTGACAAGAGACCCACAAGATTAGAGTGCAACAGTTTTATAGACAAATTAAAAGAAGTGTGACCAATTGGTTTAATGTATGCAAAAATTGATCTTATGTCATCGAATTCAGATAACGTTAAAGAGTATTAATTGCATAATTTTGCATAATTTTTTTTTCTGTTTAAGTGGCACTTTTCTTCATGGGAAAACTACACCTACATTGACTTAGAGACATAAATTTAATTTAATGTATTTTATTTTATTTTATTCTATTACAGTAAATTAAGGAGAGGGGGACTCGAATACATGCATAACTATTTGGAAAGCTGAGCACCCTATCAACCAAATCACTGAGTTATGTCTAGCAGACTTAAATAAAAGATTTATTTTAAAATTTTATTTTACACTTGGTTGAATAAAATTAAATAATTATATATATAATGAGAATCATTGTTTAAGTACAAATTGCTCTCCAAGAATTTTTTTTTTTTTTTTTTTTTTTTTTTTTTTTCAAAATATCAAATTATTTTTCTTAAATCAAGCAACTCTTAAAGTCTTTTTACTCATCCTGAGGCATCTTCACGTCCGGCAAAAAGCATGTATCGAGAAAGGGATAAGAGTGAACAAAGGGTTCAAATCTTCTTGTTCGAAGGCTTTGACAAAAGCAAGGTCTGCATTTCCGTGAAATACAGGGATAACTTTAAATAATGGAAATATGGAAAGACTTGGAATCAAGGCAAGGCCACACACACACACACACACACATATATATATATTAATACCACACTTGGCCTTCATCATCTGATTCACCTCGACTTACATCATCTTGAGTGATGGAGAAAACTTGCTTCCTTGTTTCTGTCACATTTTTATTGTTGGTGCACTGCTCTCTCATGGCTGTGACTGTGAGTACTAGGAGTACTGCAACCAATATCACCACCGATCAATCGGCTCTTCTTGCCCTGAAATCCCATATCACAAGCGACCCTCACAACATTTTGGCAAAAAACTGGACCACCACAACCTCCCATTGCAACTGGATTGGTGTCCATTGCAACACTCGTCACCACAGAGTTGCAGCCTTGAACCTTTCTTACATGGGCCTAAGTGGCACCATCCCTCCACACATTGGAAACCTCTCCTTTCTAACCTTACTAGACATCAGAAACAATAGTTTCCATGGTGCTATCCCTAAAGAGATAGGCCATTTGCGTAGACTAAAAATCATCAGATTCTTTTCCAACGACTTTACGGGAAACCTTCCCAAGGAAATCGGCAAACTTGCTAATCTGGTGTCTTTGGACGTGCAGTCAAATAGGCTTTCCGGCTTCATACCTGCCTCCATCTTCAACATCTCCTCATTGGAAGATATTGCTTTCACTAATAATAGCCTGTCCGGTAATCTTCCCACGGATATGTGCTACCGTCTTCCAAAACTCTATGGGCTCTATCTGTCATTTAACCAGTTCGATAGTCAAATTCCTTCCACTTTATATGAATGCTTGAAACTTCAATTCTTGTCATTGTCATATAACAAATTCAGTGGACCAATACCAAAAGAGATTGGGAACTTAACCTTCCTGAAAGGGTTATATCTTGGTGGTAACAACTTGGAAGGTAAGATAAATTCTGGTTTTGCTTCCCTTACTATATATACCCACGTGTGCTTACATACATATGTGCATGTTACATTGGAAAGTAGCTTTGTTTAATTAGAAAACCTATAATATTTTCAAATGGTTTAATTTAATTTAATAATTATACACTTGAAATAGATTTTGTTGGTAATTTTTGTATTACTACTGTATAGGTGAAATTCCACCACAGCTGGGAAATCTTCAAAATTTGGAGTCACTAGAAATTGAGCGTGCTGGTCTCACTGGTAAGCGTACCATGCCATCTTCTGTCTTTAAAATTTATTGTTTGAAAGAACTTTATTTCCATTGGAATAAATTAACTGGTACGGGGTATGACCTGGCATATATCTTCCCATGCTTGGAGTAGTTCATCTTTACAAAAATAAACTTTATATATGGAAGCATTCCAAGAGATATTGGAAACTCTACTTCATTGATTTAATTAGATCATACATAAAAACAGTTTAACAGGTATCTCTTATGGTACGCGTTTTGTTTTACTATATTTGTTGCAAAATTTTTGGAAACGAAAACATGAAAATATGGTAAAAAAAAGTATTACAAGTTTGAAAAATATAATAGTTAGTTTTAAAATATCATTAAAGAGTTGAAGAGTTCTTTTTTCTTTTACAGTTCATCGCTACAATACTCGTTGTTACAACAGTGCTAAAAATGTAAAAACACCAAATTGGTGTTTTAATTTTGATAACTACTCAGAAAACGTTTCAGCACTATGCAAAACAAAACATTTTTACACGTTTCAAAAAACACTATTACAGATTTTCAGGAGTGGCATAGAGTACGTCCTGTTGAATTAGCAAGCATTTCCAAGTGTCTTTAAAGTAATTTTTTTTCCCAATGGATGGAAGCTTATTGTTTTAATAAACATTACAACGAACTATACAGTAGTAATACATATCAAGTTTTGAGTCAAGTTCAAGGAACTTGGTCTGGTCTATTCACGTGGGCTGAAAGACATGAGATGAGATGACAAGGGTTGTAAGGATAGACAGAAAAGGTGGCGGAACCAGCAAATTTTTTTGGTTCAAATGAAATAATGTTTTGTCTGACATCTTTTTTTGAGGGTGTGGTGAGCAATCTTGACATGTGTATGGAGAATGGCTTTGCCTATATATTTGTATAAGGTTTGTAGCTTTGGTGATATGAAAGGAAGAAAGAAATAAGGATAAGAGTAAGCCGAGAGAAAGAGAGTGTTCGAGAATAGAGGAGGAGCCGAGAGTTGTAGAGGTGGCCGGAGCTTGAGGAGTTGATGATCCAGTGAGGAATTTCTCTTTTTCAGTGTAGGGTTCTTTATACCTTGAATGGCATGGGGAGGTTTTGATTAAATGTTTTATGAAATGTTTTGATTAAATGTATATTTATTTTGTTTATACTCACCTGTATATGTTTATTTTGTGAAATTGTTTTGTTAAACCTCTATGAAATTCTTATTATGGTTTTTCCTACTGGGACTTTTGTCTCACCACCCTCCAGTTTCAGGTACCGAAGATGAACGGGGATGGCTAGAGACGGGCTTAGGATGAAGAGTTGGCGTGGAGGATTTTTTTTTTTTTTTGGAGATTTTTTTTGTATTTTTGAGGAATCTGACTTTGTATAAAAGAGGGCATTTTTCTGTGATCCTGGGTGTATTTTGGTGTATCTGATTTTGTATAAATTGAGGATTTTATTGGAATTGTCAGGTCGTGACAATTGATGTCTTTTCATCTTGCTTTATGCTTGTAAATCATTTTGGTTTATCAATGTATCTATGTATATGGATGTTTTGGGATAAGTTTTGAGTTGTATGAATGTGTACATTACCATATATAATTGCAAGGAATAATTAAACTAGAGCTCCCTTAGGAGCTCATGTCCACATTCTGGTTTAGTTTGATCGATCAGATTTTAATCCCATTGATCGGATCTTCCCATACTTAGAGTATTTTGAAAACCCTTCAAAATCTGCTCTCAGTTTGATTGATTAGATTTCAATCCGTTCGATCAAATTTTCCCAAACTTAGAAAATTTTGAGGTTGTCGAAATCGCTCGAATTGACTAAACTTTAATCAGTCATAACTTGGTCTTTTCTAATCCAATTTAAGCCATTCTTAAGTCTAGATTGATGCAGTTTGAGCCAACTTTCCATTGGCTTAAACCTCACCTTTAAAAAAAAAAAATTAAATGACTATTTTACCCCTCGTAAGGCATAAACCCGAAGTCGGAGCTACCATCCTTAAAAGATCCATTTGTGATTATAAATGACTAGTATGACTTCATTATTACTCCTAGCACATAGTAAGGTAAATAATGACCATTTTGCCCTGAGTTGTCCCCGGGTCGGGGTGAGACCCGGTTAGTGATCCGGACCTCCGGGTTTGGGTCGTTGCACTATAGATATTTCAAATAAAATTATCAAATAGAAAAAATTATTTTCTACGGCGAATATTTTATTCTTCTACGAGGTTTATTATTTTTCGTAGAAATGTAAGAGTATTTACGGAACCCTTATAGACGAGGGCCTAATATGTGCTGTGAATAAGTTTTCACGACAAGTTTGGCCCTCGTACAAGGCCATTTTTCTTATAGTGATTGCCAGGAGGTCTTGGTTGTTCTCGCCTGGAGCCCATGTATCCCTTCTGCTCGACTAAGTGTGATCCTCTCGAATCTGGGTTTGGTTATGTTGTGCTCCCTCTAGTGTTGAGCCCACCGCTATGTGTGATAGATTTGAGGCGAGCCCAGTGTTATCGGCATTTTATTGGTCCTAAGCGGCGCTGGGCGTGTCTTAATTCGATGGCTTCCAAGGGGCTCTCAGCTGTTGGGGGAGATCGTTAACATTCTGACCTAGTGGCACTAGTTGTTAATCTAATTGCCCATTCTCCTGCTCTGAGAGAGCGGGTTGAGGGCCTCGAGGGGCTTGTCGTGCTCCCCTTGGCGGAGGTGTGTTGGCTTGATGAACGAATACCCTGAGCTCCTCATTCTCTTGATGCAAGGCATTAATCTATGTTGCGCTAGTCTCATTGGCTTGTCGTGGGGCGTTAAATTGTGTGGCACTTGCTTTATTAGCTTGGCACAGGGCGCTAAACTTCTCCTGCATCTCTTCGCGCATCTTCTGCATGATCTCTAATTGTTGCATCTAAACAGCGTTTGATCCTATTGCCATCTTAGAATGATGTCGCATATATAAAAAAACTCAGAAAGTAGTGAGAGGTTTTTTATTCCTTCCCAGAGACGATGCCAAAATGTAAGTGCACAAAATCTCCGGTTGAACACTGGTTCGCAACTTAGAAATTCAAGTGCTCTCACACTCAATTTTTAACAAAAAGGAAGATAATTTTAACAAAGAAATTATCAAAAATCAATATCCACATCACTTCTGCTTCTATTGTAACAAAAGATTCCAGAGAAGACTTGGTCGTACACAACATATCGTTATTAGAATCATTCTTTTATAATTATAATATGTACGGTAACACTATAAGAGCTTTTTTAGGATCTTTTTCCTTGTAATATTGATTGGTTCCTGATATGTAGCCATTTCTCATTTCGGTGGTTTCCGTTAGTATTTGAACAACATGTGGTTATGGGTTGCGTGGGCCCTGATATTTTTTTTGTCCTGTTTGTCGCATGAGATACTCCATGGTTCCTTGGGCTGGCGATTGGGTCTGTGGTCTTTACTCTCTCCCTTGAGCCTGATCTATTATGGTGTACATGTGTCGTCTACTGATTAGGGGAAGATTTTCCCTCCAAACATATACTTTATGAGCTTCCTCGTAAGCCATCCTCAAAATCTCTGCGCAATAACGGAAACAATGACGGTGTGCTTCCATCTACAAAATTTTCAAACTCCAGTCCCAATTTCAAATTTTTTAGTTTTACAGGCGAACATGACTTTTTTAGTTTCATATGTGAATACAATTTTTTTTTTTTAATCATCAACAGCAGTTTATAACTATATATACATATGTATAGTTATATATATATGTATGTATAGACATAAGGGTGTGTTTGAGGTGTTTAAAAGGTATTTGGGTTTAATAATTACAATAAGGGGGCATTAGTATCTTTTCATACTCAGAAGGATATTATGGTCATTAAAATTATAGTGTATGTCATGTGACGGTCACTCGGTCAATTTAACTAATGGTAAGATTTGACTAAAATAAGGCTATCTGTAACAAAAATACATAATTAAAAACATTAATAGTTTAAAGGAATTTTTTACATTGCACCATTATTACTCGTATTATTTTTTCCTTTTACTATGACAAATATAGGGTAACGTGTTACAAATGCAAATGACCAAACATTCAACTAGACTGTTGGCCGAATACCAGTCAAATTGGTCATTTAGTGGAGAAAATATTACATATTCAGCGGGTCGTCCACTCTACGGAAGTTGACATGGAAAAGTCACGCGTCAATCTACCGTATTCTATGTTACCTTATTCTACGTTTTCGTTCATTATTTTATGTTACCTTATTCTATGTGGAGGAAGACGTATGTTACCTTATTCTAGGTTTTTGTTGATTATGGTATTCTAGACATTGTAAGTCAATGATGGTCTTCCAAGATGCATTTTAATTTCGCCACTTTATTTCTTTTTAATTGCGCAAAAATTGATCTTATGTCACCGAATTCATATCAAGTTAAAGAGTACAAATTCTTGTAGGGAAAAACTCCAATATGGTCATGGGGTATTGCATAATTTTAGGCTTATTAGATGGATTGACAAGAGACCCACAAGATTAGAGTGCAACAGTTTTATAGACAAATTAAAAGAAGTGTGACCAATTGGTTTAATGTATGCAAAAACTGATCTTATGTCATCGAATTCAGATAACGTTAAAGAGTATTAATTGCATAATTTTGCATAATTTTTTTTTCTGTTTAAGTGGCACTTTTCTTCATGGGAAAACTACACCTACATTGACTTAGAGACATAAATTTAATTTAATGTATTTTATTTTATTTTATTCTATTACAGTAAATTAAGGAGAGGGGGACTCGAATACATGCATAACTATTTGGAAAGCTGAGCACTTTATTAACTAAATCACTAAGTTATGTCTAGCAGACTTAAATAAAAGATTTATTTTAAAATTTTATTTTACACTTGGTTGAATAAAATTAAATAATTATATATATAATGAGAATCATTGTTTAAGTACAAATTGCTCTCCAAGAATTTTTTTTTTTTTTTTTTTTTTTTGTTTTTTCAAAATATCAAATTATTTTTCTTAAATCAAGCAACTCTTAAAGTCTTTTTACTCATCCTGAGGCATCTTCACGTCCGGCAAAAAGCATGTATCGAGAAAGGGATAAGAGTGAACAAAGGGTTCAAATCTTCTTGTTCGAAGGCTTTGACAAAAGCAAGGTCTGCATTTCCGTGAAATACAGGGATAACTTTAAATAATGGAAATATGGAAAGACTTGGAATCAAGGCAAGGCCACACACACACACACACACACATATATATATATTAATACCACACTTGGCCTTCATCATCTGATTCACCTCGACTTGCATCATCTTGAGTGATGGAGAAAACTTGCTTCCTTGTTTCTGTCACATTTTTATTGTTGGTGCACTGCTCTCTCATGGCTGTGACTGTGAGTACTAGGAGTACTGCAACCAATATCACCACCGATCAATCGGCTCTTCTTGCCCTGAAATCCCATATCACAAGCGACCCTCACAACATTTTGGCAAAAAACTGGACCACCACAACCTCCCATTGCAACTGGATTGGTGTCCATTGCAACACTCGTCACCACAGAGTTGCAGCCTTGAACCTTTCTTACATGGGCCTAAGTGGCACCATCCCTCCACACATTGGAAACCTCTCCTTTCTAACCTTACTAGACATCAGAAACAATAGTTTCCATGGTGCTATCCCTAAAGAGATAGGCCATTTGCGTAGACTAAAAATCATCAGATTCTTTTCCAACGACTTTACGGGAAACCTTCCCAAGGAAATCGGCAAACTTGCTAATCTGGTGTCTTTGGACGTGCAGTCAAATAGGCTTTCCGGCTTCATACCTGCCTCCATCTTCAACATCTCCTCATTGGAAGATATTGCTTTCACTAATAATAGCCTGTCCGGTAATCTTCCCACGGATATGTGCTACCGTCTTCCAAAACTCTATGGGCTCTATCTGTCATTTAACCAGTTCGATAGTCAAATTCCTTCCACTTTATATGAATGCTTGAAACTTCAATTCTTGTCATTGTCATATAACAAATTCAGTGGACCAATACCAAGAGAGATTGGGAACTTAACCTTCCTGAAAGGGTTATATCTTGGTGGTAACAACTTGGAAGGTAAGATAAATTCTTGTTTTGCTTCCCTTACTATATATACCCACGTGTGCTTACATACATATGTGCATGTTACATTGGAAAGTAGCTTTGTTTAATTAGAAAACCTATAATATTTTCAAATGGTTTAATTTAATTTAATAATTATACACTTGAAATAGATTTTGTTGGTAATTTTTGTATTACTACTGTATAGGTGAAATTCCACCACAGCTGGGAAATCTTCAAAATTTGGAGTCACTAGAAATTGAGCGTGCTGGTCTCACTGGTAAGCGTACCATGCCATCTTCTGTCTTTAAAATTTATTGTTTGAAAGAACTTTATTTCCATTGGAATAAATTAACTGGTACGGGGTATGACCTGGCATATATCTTCCCATGCTTGGAGTAGTTCATCTTTACAAAAATAAACTTTATATATGGAAGCATTCCAAGAGATATTGGAAACTCTACTTCATTGATTTAATTAGATCGTACAGAAAAACAGTTTAACAGGTACCTCTTATGGTACGCGTTTTGTTTTACTATATTTGTTGCAAAATTTTTGGAAACGAAAACATGAAAATATGGTAAAAAAAAGTATTACAAGTTTGAAAAATATAATAGTTAGTTTTAAAATATCATTGAAGAGTTGAAGAGTTCTTTTTTCTTTTTCAGTTCATCGCTACAATACTCGTTGTTACAACAGTGCTAAAAATGTAAAAACACCAAATTGGTGTTTTAATTTTGATAACTACTCAGAAAACGTTTCAGCACTATGCAAAACAAAACATTTTTACACGTTTCAAAAAACACTATTACAGATTTTCAGGAGTGGCATAGGGTACGCCTGTTGAATTAGCAAGCATTTCCAAGTGTCTTTAAAGTAATTTTTTTTCCCAATGGATGGAAGCTTATTGTTTTAATAAACATTACAACGAACTAAGATCTTAAACACAAAGAAAGATGTAGTGCTTGCTAAAATGTAAGTAAGATTGGTAATCATTGCAATCCGTAGACGCCATCATTTATTTATTTGTGTGTTTCAATACAATTTTGCAGGTGCAATACCAAGAGAGATTGGTAACTTAACCTTCCTAAAAGAGTTATATCTTAGGGAAAACAACTTAAAAGGTATGATAAATTCTGTTTTTGATTCCCTTATTATATATACCTACGTGTGCTTACATATATGTGTGTGTGTGTGTGTGTGTGTGCATGCTACGTTGGAAAGTAACTTCGTTTAATTAGAAAACCTTTAATTTAATAATTATACAGTTGAAATAGAGGTCTCACTGGTAAGCGAACCATGCCGCCATCTTCTGTCTTTAACATTTAGTGTTTGAAAGAACTTTATTTCCATAGGAATAAATTAACTTGTACGGGGTATGACCTGGCGTATATCTTCTCATGCTTGGTGTAGTTCATCTTTACAAAATTAAACTCTATATATGGAAGCATTTCAAGAGAAATTGGAAACTATACTTTATTGATTTAATTAGATCTTACAGAAAAACAGTTTAACAGGTATCTCTTAGGGACCGTTTGGTATGCATTTTATTTTAGCATTTTTGTTGCAAAATTTTTGGAAACTAAAACATGAAAATATGTTTGGTAAAAAAAGTATTGCAAGTTTGAGAAATATAATGGTTAATTTTAAAATGTCATTGAAGAGTTTTCCTTTTTTCTTTTACTGTTCATCGCTACAATACTCTGCTACAACAATGCCAAACCTGTAAAAATACCAAATTTGTGTTTTAATTTTCACAACTATTCAGGAAACATTTCGGCAGTGTGTAAAACAAAACATTTTTATGTTCTAATAAACTTTACAGCGTACTAAGATCTTTAACACAAAGAAAGATGTAGTGCTTGCAAAAATGTAAGTAAGATTCGTAATCATTGCAATCTGTAGACGCCAACATTTATTTATTTGTGTGTTTATATACAATTTTGCAGGTGCAATACCACTAGAGATTGGAAACCTTTATGATTTGAAAATTTTAAACTTACAAGTCAATAGCCTAACAGGTTCGATTCCAGAAACAATATTCAACTTGTCAAAACTACTAGATCTTTCATTTTCGAGAAATCAACTTTCAGGAAAACTTCCGTCGAGTATTAAGTTACCCAATCTTGAACAATTTTACCTTTCTGAAAACAACCTCAGCGGAATTATCCCCGACTCTATCTCAAATCTTTCCAAAGTCGTTATTTTAAGCCTTTCCAATAACAATTTTAGTCATTCAATTCCCAACACACTTGGTAACTTAGGACTTCTCGAAGTACTACATCTAGCAGGAAACAATTTCATCAGTGGGTCTTCAAACCCAGAATTGAGCTTTCTTACTACCTTGACAAATTGCCGACGCTTAAAAAACTTGATCATATTAGACAATCCACTGAATGGCATCCTTCCAGTTTCCATTGGGAATTTCTCGTCTTCGCTTCAAGAAATCTGGGCAAGTGATTGTGAAATTAAAGGCAACATTCCCAACCATATTGGTAACTTGAGCAATTTGGCTTTTTTACGTCTATATGGTAACAGCTTCACTGGAACTATTCCTACGACAATGAAAGAGTTGCGAAGGCTCCAACTTTTAGACCTTGGAATTAACATGATACAAGGGCCCATTCCACATGATCTTTGCCACTTGCACAACTTGGGTTCATTAAGTCTGGATGAAAATGAACTTGTTGGTCCGATTCCAGGTTGCTTAGGGAATGTTACATCTCTAAGACATCTCTTTATGGGTTCTAACAAATTAAACTCCACAGTACCTATAAATTTGTTCAGCCTCAAAGATCTTTTGATTTTGAACTTGTCCGCAAATTCTTTTAGTGGCGGTCTTCCCTCGGAGATAGAAACTTTAAAGGCTGCAATACAAATAGATCTGTCACTGAATAGATTCTCAGGTGATATCCCTAGCACAATTGGAGGTCTACAAAGCGTAATTGGCCTTTCTTTGGCACACAATAGACTACAAGGACCTATTCCTGAGTCATTTGGAAACTTGATAAGCTTGGAATCCTTGGATCTATCTTACAACAATCTCTCTGGTGTAATTCCAAAGTCAATGGAGTCACTCTTGCACCTTCAGCATTTTAATGTATCTTTCAACTCATTAAGAGGAGAAATTCCCACCGGAGGACCATTTGCAAACTTCACAAATCAATCCTTCATGTTGAATGAAGCACTATGTGGTGCTTGGCAGTTGCAAGTCCCACCATGCCATTCAAGCTCTGGATCAAAGACAAAACGAGTGCTTCTAGTTGTTTACATTTTGTTGCCAATTGCTTTTATTGCCTTGACATTCACATTTGTGTCAAAAAGATGTCGAAAGAGAAACATAACTGCAATTGAAACAGACTTGTTACCCACTTTAGCACATGAAAGAATTTCTTATCAAGAGCTTCTACGAGCTACTAATGCTTTTAGTGATGGTAACTTGCTTGGAACTGGAAGCTTTGGTTCTGTTTACTGTGGGACACTTACAGATGGGACCATTTTAGCGATTAAGGTATTTAATTTACAACTTGAAGATGCATCCAAGAGTTTTGATACAGAATGTGAAATGTTGCGCAATATTCGTCACAGAAATCTCACCAAAGTTATCAGCAGTTGTTCCAATCTAGATTTCAGAGCCTTGGTACTCCAATACATGCCTAATGGGAGTCTCGAAAAGTGGTTGTATTCTCATAACTATTTCTTAGACATCTTGCAGAGATTAGACATTATGATAGATGTGGCATGTGCACTGGACTATCTCCACCATGGTTATTCAATACCATTAGTTCATTGTGATTTGAAGCCCAACAATGTCCTACTAGATGAAGATATGGTTGCACATCTTAGTGATTTTGGCATTTCAAAGTTCTTGGGTGAGGGCGAGAGTATTGCACACACCAAGACTCTAGCTACTTTGGGATACATTGCACCAGGTAAAGCTTTTCACATCAGTTTTCTTTCAAATCTTACTTCAAGGTTTCCTTGTTATTGCAACAAAATTTTAATTTGTGTTTTACTTCCCTTTCATATGCTAATTCTTTTGATTAATTTTGTTGTTGGACGTAGAGTATGGATTGGAAGGATTAGTATCTGCAAGGTCTGATGTTTATAGTTATGGTATTATGCTAATGGAAACGTTTACAAGAACTAAGCCCATAGATGAAATGTTTGCTGGAGATTTGAGCTTGAAGCTATGGGTAAGTGAGTCACTACCCAATGAGATAATTCAGATTATGGATGCCAACTTGCTCAGGCCAGAGGAAGGGCAAGCCAATGCAAAGGTGCAGTGTGTGTCATCCATTTTGCAATTGGCTCTGAATTGCTGTGCAGAATCACCACAGGATAGGATCAAGATGGAAGCAGTCCTGACAACACTGAAGAAGATCAGACATAGATTTTTTGCAAGCGGTGAAAGGCAATAAATATGAAGGTATCTATTTAAATTAACTTATAGTTGTAAATATCAAATTTACAAAGGGCATGTTTAGAAGTCAACGTCATTTTAACAGGGTATTTCTTTCCAAATAGTCCTTTAATAAATTAATTACAATTAACTTCCAAACTAAAGGAATTCACTGTGGTTTTTCCTTGGTACTAATTTTTAATTTTCGCCTATCCAACAATGCTTTATATCATAGATAATAATTGAAAGAAAAAAAATCACATGTTATATGCTGATATGATTTTATTGCAACAGATTGCATTGCTTTGAGAGGTGGAAGTGTTGGTAGCTCTTCTGCTCCATAGGAACTATGTCTCAAAGATAGTTTGCTCAGTTGAATATCACCAGTAGAGGCACATATATGTTGTTTATTTTTCAGTAAAACAAATGGTCATCTTTAGGATCTCGTGGTTGCGCGTTTATATTATGTGTTTTCTAGTTGTGTGATGGATGTATGTTTTAGTGGTATCTATACATAATGTTCTTTTATAACGACTTTCTCATATTCTATGCCAAGAAGATCAAAGAAAAAAAGAAGAAGAAGTGAAAACTGATTAAATTATGATTACTTGTGTTGTTCGATTACATTTCAGGTCTTCTGAAAATTCAAACGAGATTTTAAATTATATAAAATGCATACTTAAGAGTTAACTAAATCTACACGAGTTATTTGCTCACATTTTATAATATATTATAAAATAAAATAAAAACTTTAATTTGTTGTAGCTTTACTCATAAAATGTTCCAATGCATCTCCCCAGTGGACAATCCCTTAATGGATTTGAAATGACAGGACTTGAGTTTGAACGAGAATATGACTATTGATATTCAACATGGTGTAGCTTAAGAAAGAGTCCCCTCTTACATGGTATAAATGAAAAAGAAAAAAAAAACATGGTGCTTTCTGCTTCCCCTAACAAATAGAAAATTAGAAACTCTCCAAAATTGGATATATATAACACTTCTCCTCAAACGGCACATTTTGTAAAATTATTCTTGACCCCTACTTTTTCTCTAAAAGATTTCATGGTTTGTGCTTATTTTCTTTTACTCTCTCCATCCAAATTTGGAGAGTTTTTAGTTTCATATTTGTGAGGGGAAAGAGAGCAGCATATTTTTTTTTTCCTTAATTGCAACTTGTTTTGACAATAATTTTTCTAAAGCCTGAAGTAGTTGATATTCTGTCAATTAAAAATCCTAAGTAAAGGAAGCAATGCAATCCTCATAAACCAGAAAAAAAGACAGTAATTTGTTGTATGGAACTAAACCAGTTTAATTGGTTCTCTGATCTCATCTTATTTTATGGCTTGGCATTTGATTATCAGTTTTTTTTTTTTTTTTTTTTTTGGAAGGTTAAACAAACACCCACAACCATAGCATTTGATTATCAGTTTACCTTAGTATTTTGATGATGTATTGACTTCTAGAATTGAATGCCTTTCATATTCATTGATGATGACACTGATGATATAGAATGATTGATGCAATTTCATCATTTTTTAAAAGTTGAATGTAAGTTGTTTAATGTAGTGTTATATTCCTTTTAATTAATTTAAGATTGCATGTTTCCATGTCAATTATTTTTTTGCAGTCTCAGGTCACTAATTTTTCCTCATTGGCTCAACAGTTTTTGGCCTTGCATTCTATGGGTGCTACTCGTTCCACTTAGTAAGTTACATTTATAATAAAAATTCGAAATTTGTTTTCCCCACCATCTAATTTAAAGTTATTGTTAGATTAATTATTTATATAGAATAATATTATTTTAATCGATGATTAAATAAATACTTTACAATAAAATAGACATGATCAAAAATTTGACCTTATGAAGTAACTAAGAGAAACCTAATTTGTTAGATGACACCTAACCCTAGAAGAACAATACACCAAAGAGGCGCTCTATTGAGATTACCTACAAGATATCTTTTATAGTTATTGGATTAGAATTTCTTTAAAATTTGCAAGTGAAATTTGACAATGAATTTCTTATTTATGCTTGGTTTATAAAACTTAGATATAAATGGTACTTTGTTTTTTAATTTTTTGCCAAGAAAATAAGACATGAATCTTGACTTTTTATGTTGGAAGCTGAGTCAGAACCATAGGGGTATACCCTTGATACAAAGTTTGGTGGCTCATTGCACTTTCTTTTTCTATAAATGTAGATCATTGCAATTAAAAAATTTAAACTCCATAAACTAGCTTGTTTTAAAAACTTTAATCTTAGAACGGAATTTCCTTTAAATTTTAAATTTTGGCTATCGTGTTTGGACGGTTAATGAATTCCATGAAAATTTCTTCATGAGAACTGGCCGTATTAAGTATTAACAAAAATTCAAATTACTGAAAACTTTTAGCATAGTTTGAGACCAAAAAAACAATTTCTAGACTCTAAGATTGAAATGAAAAAAATAAAAGAAAAGGTGATAAGGAGAAATTTGTTTGCTTTGTCTATTTGACAATTAAAGTAAAATAATGCATACTCAGTTTTGCTATTAAAAAAAAATCCCTTTGGAGATCTTTCTCATTGAAGCAAGGGTAACATAACAGAATTAAATTAAGTATTTCATGCTCTTGCATAGATAATCACAATTCACAACACATTGTAGAGTAAAATAAGTTTCAGAAAAGTTAATAAAGGAAATTCAATCCCTAATTATTGAAACCTTAAGACATTAATTCTTTATTAATTAACCCTTTGTTAGTACCACAATTTCATTGTTCAATTATGCTTACAATGACCAAACCATGAGGTCTAGATAACAAGCTACTTTAAGAATTTTGACAAATCCTCAAAGAATACCAGCCATCAATTTCTAGGAAATTATTTAAAAGGGCGCCTTTTTGCTCCTTTCCTTTAGCCGTTTGATCCCATTGTCGTAACCAACCGAGAGCATTGCCTTAAAGGGTTGCGGCTATAAATCTAGAAAACGTTCTTTTGACCAGTACACTTTCTAATTATTAACTAAAATGGCCAGTGACTATGCCCATTCGTCAATGGTTTTCAAATGATCTTTATACGGTTTATGTGTAAAATCAAGATAAGTACCATATTGAGCAATTGGGTACTTGTTGAGGTCATCCTTTATTGTATAGGATGGATTGGGATCATTAGGTGAGGATTACGGACTTGCAGCTTTAGGGTTTCTATTTTTACAGAAGTTTCTTCTACAGGGAGTATCTCTTCTGTTTCAGGAAAATCACCATAAAAGAATTCATCTAAAACAGTGTCAGAATCCCTTTTTCTGTTGTGAGAGGAAGATTATGGCTGTGGTTCAGCTTGAATTTCTTCGTCAACAGACTCTGAGTCTTCGGAATCGTTAAATTCTTCAGAGTCAGACTGATCAGTAAGAATATTTATAAATTCTTCTGATTCACTATCACTTTCAGATATAGTTGTTTGATATCCGACGTGTGTAAGGAGATCTTCATTTTGTAGAGAAGTCTCTCTGATCTGATTGATGATGTGATTACTTTCATCAATAGATAAATTGGGGTCAACATACATATATCTTAGATAAGCTAAGAAGTCTATGATGTTGTTGTATTCATCGATATTGTAATTCTTTGACTTTTTATCATGAATTACAAGTATGTCCTCGGTTCCATAGTAAATGTTTTTTACCTTTATTGTGGAAGTAGAAGTAGATTGTTTATCTACTTTTGTTGAAGGATCTGGTGGATCAGGGGGATAAAGATTAGATAATTTTGATTTCTTCAATTTTTCTAAATTGAGAATCATTTAATTGTTCTGAACTTTTATGTCCTGATAATCAATTTGCTGGATAAGTAGTGTTAACATATCCAACTTTTCATTTAAGGATACCATTCCTTGTTACAAATCATCGATAGATGTCTCTATTTGAGCATTCGATGTTTAAAGGCTACTTTGGAATTTGTTATTCCAATCATTAACCATATCGATTAAAAAGTTTACACCTGCACCAATCTGTTTCGATTTAGCAATTCTGAAGTTTCAAAGTGTGGAATATGGGTACATAAATTTAGGTTTTTCCCAACTATATTACATATACAACTTACAGACTTTTGTTGTGCCATGAGAAATAGTTAATGGTCCTTAAGACCTTTTGATTCTGTTTAGGTGCCTAAAACCAGGTTTCCTTTTCAAAGCCTAGGAGTCACACAGACAATTGGCAAAATAAGGAAGATATGGGCTTAAAACAGAAATCAAAGGTATGAGACTTTTAACAGTAAACAAAGCACAATAAAGGATACTGTAATAATAGAAAACTGTAATACAAACTTATAATGATAATCCAAGCTCGTAGATCAAGCTATTATACCAATTACAAAGATACGTGGAAATAAAATATATAAACTGAGAAATGTTTACAAGAGAGAGAAAGAACTTCAAACTTCAGATGTCGAATGCTAAACAAAGCTTCGGTTTAAATATAAAAGAAAAAGCATTTTACTATTTGGTGAATAGTAAAAGTGATGTTCATAAATAGTGTTTAGATATGATGGAATCTGCTTTCACTTTTCATGAACAGTAAAAGCTATGAATAGTGTTTTATTGGCCACTTTTCACTGTTGATGAATAGTAGACGCTACTTTTCACTGTTGATGAATAGTAGTTTTGACATGTCTTCTTGTCGTGTGCTGGATTGATTGTGCAGTCGATCAGTAAGAAGATAATGTTAGTCTTCCATTGCATTTATGAGATTATGTAGTTCATATTCATCTAATGGAGGGCTGCTGACTGGGCTTTGAGCATAATATTCATGACTATCAACTTCGGACTATTCGGCACCTATGATGATGTCTAGGGGGGGGGGGCATCAAGTGTGAGATTCTTAATTTTTGTTAAGAATTCTGTGGATTCAAGACGTTGTTCTTGACTATAATTTGGATAGTCAATGAACAGATGTGTGACAAAGAGTCTTCTTCCGTCACAAATTGTGCGAAGGCCTGCATTATAATGGCCCAAGTTTTTTAACCCGGTGCGTCAGTGATGAA